GGCATCATGGGGATACAAAGGCTGCAACCTCAGCATGAGGTTCACAAGGTTTTCTGAACCTCGTACTTAAATGCATTTAATAAAACTGAATAAGGTTTTGTATCTTCTTGATAACAATTGCAAACCTACAGACGTCATAGCATGTGGCCTGCTTGTCTTTTTGTTGATTTGACACAAGCTAAGGCCAACTGGAAAGAGGGAACCTCACTGAGAAAATGCTTCTATCACATTCGCTGTGGGAGCATTTTCTCGATTAATGACTGATATTGGAGTATCTAGCTCACTGTGGGTGGTGCCAGCCCTGGGAAGAGGGTACTGAGTTGTATAAGAATGCAGGTTGAGCAGGCCATGGGGAACAAGCCAATAGTTAGAGTTCTATGGTCTCTGCTTTAGTTCCCACCTCCAAGTTGTTCCTGCATTGAGTTCTTGTCCCTTTGTGGTGGACCATGAACTAGAAGATAAATAAAGCCTTTCCTCTCCAAGTTGCATTCAGTCATGGTGTTTTGTCATAGCAACAGAAACCTGACTAATACTGCATGGTTAACCTTTAAAATTAAAATATAGTTTTAAGAACTCTCCTCTTGTCTTATGTTTCTTCTGTATTGCTTTTTGTATCAAGGTTCCTTGAATGATAAGCATCCTAGGAAGATGTTAGACAATGGTGCTATGAGCTCTACTCTGAGTTCCTTTGTGCCAGTTAACAATCACAGGTCACACTCTGGCAGTCACGGCTGCTAACACACAGAGGTCGCCCCATAGATAGAACTATTGTTTAAGGACTTTTCGAACAGAGTAAAGTGGTTTAAAAGGACCAGTCCTCTAAAACCCTTGGGTCTTAGTAAATCGAGTCTCACTATATCAAAACATCTGAGGCTTAGTAACTTACAGAGAAGAGAGATCTTAGACTTAATTTGCACTAAATTTTAGACTAATGAGATATGAGCTAACAGAAGAGAAAAAAAAATCTTTGCAGTTTAGCTTGTTCTTGGTATTTCTTAATCTTTCAGAAAAATTAAGTACCTCTGTCACTGGAATAATAAACTCTATATAGTATACTTGAAAAACATTTTGTGCAAAGTCATACATTTAGTTAAGCTACCAGTATGTCAGACTAACATGATTTTTATTGATATGCAATCGTATCTTTATTTCATGACCCCAGAATTGGATTTATAAAAATAAGAGTGAAAATCTAGGCAGAGGTTATCTGGTTATCTGCCTTCCATGTTAGAGCAGGATTCTATACAAGCTTAGCCTACCTATAAGGGCTCTCTCTCTCTCTCTCTCTCTCTCTCTCTCTCTCTCTCTCTCTCCTTCTCTTCCACTTTCCCTCCCTCCCTTCTGCTCCCTCCCTCCCTCCTCTTCCTCCTTCTCTTCCTTCTCCTCCTCCCTTCCTCTCTCTCTTTCTCTCTCTCTCTCCCTGCCCCCTCCATTTAAGATAAAACACAAGAACATGCATCTTGTGGAACTCTGTCCTCTGACAACTGGCACAGCCATTACCATTTCTAAATCAGAGCAATTGTGATCGTCCATAAGCAATGCTCACAAGATGAGGTCTGTCCACATTTCTTCAGGAAGGAGTCCCTGGATGGTCCCTGCGGTCACAGCAACTTTCTAGTTCTTCCCTCCTGTGCCCCCTGATTCTTGGAAGCTTGTAATCCTACACGGAGGTACATGGTCTTGGGGGTGCATGCCAGGATGCCTGGGAGCTGGACCTGGAGGTGAAAGGTTAACCAAGTGGGTACTCCACCTACGTCCATTTCAGGAGGTCACCTTCCATGCTTAGGTAAGACTTTAGTGTGTTGAGCTGTTCTAGGATTATCCACAGTCCTCTGAGCAACACCTCACCCATCTACCTGTGGGGTGGGGAAAAGCCCAGTAGACCTATTGGTTCATCAAGGGTGGGAATTATTTCTTTGGTCTGTTTTCAGTGTTTTGTCTGGGATAAACAGACTTTTGTTCACAACTTTCCCTCCTTGAAAAGTTACATAATAGCACATTTTCCTCTTCAAGCTTCTGTAGAAAAGGCCCAGTAGCTACACATAGGGCAGTTTGATTTGATCACTGAGACCAGGGATAAGCTGCCTCAGAGCTGGTACTTCCAGCTCTTCTTAGTAGCTGAGAAAGATCTCCAGACATTCTCCCAACTAAGTCAGCTAGCTCAGACTTGTTACAAAGTAGCAGGTAGACCAGACTCATTATTAAAATAGAATCTGCCTTTTTGTTTGGGATACAAAATTTCCTGGGAGACTGCTTAATGTGCTGAAGAGTACCAGTTCCTGCCAATCTAAACAGAAAGGTAACACAGGTAAAACCTAAAAAGATACAGTGATGTATCCACCACCCAGAGATGCTTGGGGGCACATCAACCACCTGCAGAGTATTTTGAAGCGTGGAGCCTTAGAGTCCAAGCCAGGAAGTTAAAAGATCTTGAAGCTCTACAGAACAAGGAGTCTAGTATCCTTCTCCTTCCTCCCATCACTGGAGGATCATTTACTTT